TAAATATTTATTTTGGAGATAAACATTTAGTTTGCAAAATCAGTATTTGAGAAATAAATATTTAAGTCTGACCCAAAAATATAAAATATAGTGTGGAGCTAAATAACATTGTGGAAAATAAATATTTAGCTGGTACTTAAACATTTAGCTAATATGCAGATTCGCTTGCCAATAAGCGGAAGTTGGTTACCAAAATAAATGCTTGATCTCACTAACTTCTTTCTAAACTCTTGCTACGAACCAGAACTTGTTTTATCTCCAGTTCTATTCTTCTGAACATGTCCGACGTGTTGGCTGAAGAAGACTAGAACCGGAGATAATACAAGTTCTGGTTTGGAGCAAGAGTTTATAAAGAGGTTAGTGAGATCCAGCATTTATTTTGGTAACCAGCTTCCGCTTATTGGAAAGCAAATTTGCATATTAGCTAAATGTTTAAGTACCAGCTAAATATTTATTTTCCACAATGTTATTTAGCTCCACACTATATTTTATATTTTTGGGTCAGACTTAAATATTTATTTCTCAAATACTGATTTTGCAAACTAAATGTTTAGCTCCAAAATAAAGATTTAGCTGGGATCTAAAAAAAATTTCGGAAAATAAATATTTTATTTACAAATTAAATATTTAGTTCCAAAATAAATATTTAATTAGTAAATTAAATATTTAGTTAGTGAATTAATTAATCATTTTACAAACTAAATATTTAGATCAGACCTAAATATTTAGTTTGCAAAATAAATATTTAACTACAAATTAAATATTTAGCTTGCTAACTAAATATTTATTTGGAAACTTTAACATTTATAAATGTATGAATAACATGGTGAAAACATGACTTCGAAAAAGTGAACTCCCAATTTTATCTCTTATAATATGCTAAATAACCAAAAATATTGCTGTTAGATTATGACTGTTTGACTTTACAAATGGCACCCCATACCTCTCTCCTAAAATGTCAAAAATGACAATTCATAAATATTTTGCCGTTTTGCATGTTTGGTACAACTGACCTGACTTAAATAGTATATTTTGTCATGTTTTGCACAGATAATGTTTAAAGTTTAAGTATGATAGGAGATACTTGGTTTCAGTTACTTAAAATAATTTAGTTTTTCTTTTGCCCTGCAGATGGACTGGCTCTCTGGCCAGGGTGTAACCCGCCTGATCGCTCATTGACCGCTGGCGATAGCAGCCCCCCCCCCAACCCCCCGCGACCCTACAAGCGGGTTCAGAAAATGGATGGATGGATAGTTTTTATTTTTTGTGAGAGGTGACTCCGCATTTAGTAGTAATCGGTACAATGGATATCTGTGAAAAAGCCGATATCGAACATCTGTTGTCCAAAGCTGTTTTTCTGTCTTTGTGATTTTTTTTTTTTACATTGGATTTTTCTAAAGCAGCTTCTGCAGCTGAACCAAGGGTTGGTTCAGTCCAGACACACTCGTGGCCTCTAAGGAGCCTGAACTCCAGCGCGGTGACTGACAAGCCCACAATAATCAATTCTCAAGCATGCCGATCCAAGGCAACACTTGATCTGAGCTTCCCCGACCCGAGCTCCAAACGCTTCACGGCAATTTACCGACACCACAAAATCAAATTAAAAATGCGTTTTGAAATCGATTACCCAACACACCCAGATTGATTGTTGCTCAGAAAGCAACCTGCGCGACTTATTTTTTTCATCCAGGCGGGGTCCATTCACCTTCCACTACCACATAAACATATCGACCCAAACGCCCACTTTTAGATCCATATAAACCATTAAATATCCATTCAGTGTTTCTCCATCCATTTGTGTCACTTATTCCATGAGTTAAATCATTTAACAAAGTGAAAAACTTCAAGACGCCATAAAGTCAAGCTAAGTGTCGCTTCATTGGATGAAATATAACATTTATAAGGTGAACTCCATAAGAAATTAACAATTTGCAAAAATGCAGTTTGATATAATGCTAAATGTAAGAAAAAAATTCAACAATGAGTGCTGCTGTGTGGTCCAGTGACTGTGAAACACGTGTGAAAGAGATGCTTTCGTGTGCAAAGTTGCAGAAACAGCCAGAAGACGGAAGTTGCAGGCGGACAGATCTATGCTGAGACATCCAGAGGCTTTTGTCTCAGGTCCACATGACCAACCCGCCTGGTGTCCACAGCTGCTGCGGGTATCTTCTCAGCAGAGAACAGCCAAGATAAATAACATCCAGAAAAATAAAGGCTTTCCTTCACCCTTTCTGACTTTTATTCAACCCAATAAATCTTTATTTCTCCTGAAAAGTCGTCCTTCCATTCCGCTCTCAAATCTCATTACCTCTTCTTCACTTTTGTAAGCATTTTGTTTCCTCATCTCTGAATTCTCATCATCATCCCCCACATTAACGATTTTCTTCACCGCAGCCCGAGTTTTTCAGGTTCTCCAGCTCTCTCCTGGTCCAAACTCCACGACACGACAGCGTGGCAGCTAATGAGGCTGCATCCCAACTAAAACATTGATCACTAAGTCAAAATTCGCCACACTCTCCGGGAAGCCATTTGTCAAGGTGATCGTTAATTTTGCAGCACTAGAAATGGCGAGTTGGGAATTGGGTTATTTTCGTCAGGTGAACAAGGGGGCTTGACAAACACCTTTTCAGGTCCAAATCAGGGTTCTAATGTGCAGGAAGAAAGACACGGAGCTGTAAATCACTCTGGACCAGCCACAAAAGATCACTTTCTTCTCACTGGGCAGGCGGGGAATGGAAGACGTGTGGCAAATCTTCTTTGTGCTCCTCTGTTCCTGCTAAGTATCAGTAAGGATGCTGTGTGACTTCGGAACGGAGCAGTCGAATAAATGAAACCTGCTCCCCCGTTTCCATCATGTGGACACCGGGTGCTCAATTACAGAGACGTGCCCCGCATAACCTGTGGGGCCACACACCTGATGGGAGGACGCAGCAGGAGCACAGGACGCTGCTCATGAGTAGGCGAGGCTACCACGTAAAGGTGCAGCGCTGCTCCCGCATACTCTCAAGATGTTCCGCATCTCTCTCTCCCCTCACACCACTCTAATTGGCAGATTGCCTCAGATGCGAGATGATTTAATGGTCTGTGTGTGTGTTTTTTCCTGCCTTAGTCAGCCATTAGCGGGGACATCTGTAACGAGTTGGCCGGGCGCACTGCTGAGAGCAGAAGCTGAGACCAACACTTTCTGGCTGAGGGGGGGGGTGAAGTCATGTGGTAGCGACAGACTTGGGCGAGGATCAAAGCACTCTGATGCGTTTCTTTTGGTTGTGATAACAGAGATTTTGTGTTTCAGATTGCCAAAGCATAAAAAAGAAGCTGTCAGATGTTTATCCTCAAAAAGCTGCAGAAAACAAATCAAACAGCACGGCTCGAAAAGTTCTCAGCTGTCCGCTTTTGATGTTCTCAACGCCATGGAGGACATAAAAAACAGCATTTTCATGGGTTTTAAACAGCTTGGCGCCCAAGGGGTCCCATTTCTAGCAGCTGCGTCGAACGCCGTGCTCAGGGGTAAGACGTCCCGGCCTGAACCAGAACCTGGCCCTGAAACGTCTCATCTCTGGCTGCACGTCACCGCCTTCATTTCTCACCCTTCCCTCCTGAGTTGTCTCTATAACGAGATCTGGAGAAGGGAGGGGGAGATGCTTTCTCAAACAAGTGAGGCCTCAGACAGCGCACTGGAAAAATAGTTCCCAGCTTAAGGGGCTTTTGAAGCCCGATGGCCATCAGTATTCCTGCCATGGCCTCTGTGGATTTCTCTGCTACCTGCAAACTGGGTCAGTTTTTGCATTATTTTAGAGATTTGTATCTCTGCAAAGCAAGGCAGAGGTTTTGCACATGCAGGCACGTGGATGCACACCTGCACTTTGCCTCCCCCTCTGCTTCCCTTCCTCTCCACCCTCCTGGTTCCTCACATGCACCATCAGGTTAATTAACACGAGCACATATTTGTCACTCAAACACACAAATGTCAATTGAAAACCACCAATTACTGATTCATCATTGGTTAAAAGGCATCTAAACGTGCAGAAAGGGGCTCATATTGATTAAAACAGTCAAAAATGGTGCAGATTTAAATTTTAACCCACCGTTCATGTCATAAAAACGAAGCCACTCATGCTTTGCCATAAATTAAGAAGTGAAAGGGCTGTAGCAACCTTCTTTGACTGCTTCGATTAACTTTTACAGCCATTTACGTCTCTGTACGTCTCCAGGAAACCTTCGAATTTTGAGTCATCATCTCAACTTTAACACAGTTTCGAATTCTAATCACTGAGAGTGTGTGGTGTCAGCTAGAAGCCCCGGAGATGAACGAGGGAGCAGTGCAGATGCAAAAGGGGGGGGATGCCTCAATAATGAGATGCTGGAAGAAAAGAGGAGCAAAAAGGTAATTGAGAAGGACAGAGAGGCTCGAAAAAAATAAGAGAGAGGAGAAAATAAGCAAGTATGAGATAGAGAAAGGAGGTAGAGTCCTGCGTCTGAATGCAAATAGACAGAGGACATGCACAGAGAGAAGAGGTTGTGCAAAAGGAGATAAAGCAAAGTGAAAAAGACGGATTTACTGTTGGCTAATGAGAAGACAAAGGCAGAAGAATCCACATCGATCTCTGCCCTGGAGGTGCTGGCTGCATGTGGGAAAAGCCTGAGGAGGCGCACCTGAAAAGCAACCCTCACTGCTGCTGGAGACCAGTTAGAAGGGTCCACACACACTCATTTCTATGGAAGTTGGAGGTGTGTGCTGCAGTGTGGCAGACAGGAGCATGCATAAACCTGCTGAAATGAGTCACACAGAGGCAGGAGATGGAGTAAGTGTGCTGAAATATTTATGGAGGCACCACTCTGCAGGCAGAACCAACACTGCATTACTCTACTTAGACTGAATTAATAACTCTACCGCAGAGCATGAGGCATGACTCCAGGGTTTAAGTGATGCTTTCGGGGCAGAAACAGACAGCTCAGGTGCGCATCGACACAAGCGGGCAAAGGTGCAGAAGGCTGCTTACTGTAGGTTTGAGCTGTTCCAGTACACCGCATGACGGTTGCTGGCTCTGGAAAGGTGCAAGTTTAAAAGCGCCAGCGTGACGAGGCTGAGGGAGAGCGCAACGAGAGCCATAATCCCTCCGGTGATGGTCCCCCCTCTTCCTCTTTTTGCGTCCCCGCTCCTTCTGTCCCGACGCGTCTTTCACAACATCCCAGCGTTCAGGCGCGCGTCTTGAACTTCCCAGTTCCCCACAACAAAAACGGACGGACTTCTGTCAGGTGTTCCTCAGTTTAAGCGCCATGCTTCAGACGGGCGCATCTTTTCTTCATCTCTCAAGTCACTCCTTTTGTTTTCCACTTCTGCAGAAAATTAATAAAGACCCAAGGAGAGATCTAATTCGCACGAGCAGCTGAAGACTGTGTTTATTAGTCACACATAGCTGTAAAGTCGCGTGGAGCAGCAGGATGTCTGCTGGGAGGTTTGTGAAGCTGCGACTTGTCTCATCAGTAGCAGCCACACGCGGCCAGCGCAGCGCCGCAAACCCGCCCTCTGATGGAGGAGACGCGCCTGACGCGTCCCACCCACACGGCTCACACGAGCGCTGCTGCCACTCATCTGCATCCAGTTTGTTTTAGTTTATTTTTATTCAATTTACTAAATCAAAAAGGAGAAAACAAAAAGAAAGAAATGGGATTTGATGTTTGTTGAGGCTTTTAAACAGCGTCAACTGTGCGCACAAGGAGAGATTTAGGGGGGTTGCTGTCAGGTGTGTGATTAAGCAATTACACTAAACAGGTGCTAATGAGTATCTTTTCATGTGTAGGTTGAATCACAGTTATTACCTGGAACAGAAACAGCTGCGGAGCTGGAACACGTAAAGCACAGCAGGGGCGGAGCTAGTCTTTTTTTCTGGGGGGGCATTTCCAAAGGGGGGCTTGTTTTTTATTTGTTGAAATTGTGTTTTTGGCCACACCCACCCACTGAGAGAAGCTTCAGCCATGGCCTGCTGGTTTTTGTTGAGTTTGTTTGGTTATTTTATGACGTTGCTGTGCCAACTTTTCTTCCCATCTCACCTGTATACAACACTCCTAAAATAAAAAGAAATATTTAAATTCTTTAAAAAACAATCAAATATTAACATTAAAATTTAAAATCTAGTCTCTCCAAATAACAAAATCAGGTCTTAGCTGAGCAAAATAAAATATTATACAAAAAGAAGACAGTATCTTCTTTAGGCGTCGCAGGGTCCCTGTAGGATACTGATGTAAAATCAAGTCTTGCATTTTGAGTTGTTTATAAATTATTAGCATTTGTCTAATATTTTCTGGTTCATTTACATATTCACCTGAGAATATGAATAGAAAATGTTTAGCCATTTTTAAATGAGCCATCCAGTGGGAAGTTTCCCCTCCAGGAGTCGCTGTAAATGTTTTATGGAAACCTAAAAAAATGCATTCTGCAAAAGAGGCCATGAATTTAAAACTGAAAGCGTTTGCTGGATGCATTCTGTGCCAAAATGTTAGTTTTTCATAGATTTCTTCTGTTTGATTGCTTTTTGAAAATATTCTTTAGGAACTCACAGTAAACAATGGAATGGGAGCGTTTTGTAAAAGTCAAAATTTAAGGTTATTAGAAATAATTTCAGATGAATAATTTGAAAATGAAGACTGTTAGCAGAAAGCTATTAAGCGCAGTAATAATAGTCTGAAAGAGAGAGAAAGTGTGTGTGTGTGTGTGTGTGTGTGTGTGTGTGTGTGTGTGTGTGTGTGTGTGTGTGTGTGTTTGTGCGTGCGTGCGTGCGTGTGTGTAACAGTGGGATATAGACTTGGAGGGGGGTATGAGAATCTTAAGACTTTAATTAACCTGTTTAATTTTGCCATCAGTGGTTCAACCACTCTTTCTACAACATTACCGGCTCACTTAATTCCAAATAAGAAGCGTTTAGCCTCGGTTTGATTAACTCTGCCTCTCCCGTATCTCCCAGTGTCCTTTTTGGAGAGGATATCAGCCATATTCCCACCTATAAACATCATTAAACTTTAGCAAAACGAAGCCAATATCATCCTGAATTTCCTCGAGCGATGAATGAGTATTCATCATGTTTCTGGTGGAGTCCCAGAAGACCACGGTTCACACTCGTCTGGTCTGAACAGAGCCAAGTTGTAGATCTGCTGCCTGCTTTCCTCTCATCCAGCTCTCGTTCACTCAGTCTGTCGACTTTGCTCCCGTTTGCTCTCACTCACTCCTTTGCCTCTCTGTTGTTTTTTGCCGGTGATGATGCCTCTCTTGAGTGCCCTGCAGGCATGTTGCCGTGGCGACTGGAGTAAAAGGGGTGGATGAAAAAGCAAGTACCATCACTTTCTGCTCCCCCCTCCACTCCCTCGCTGTCCCACCGCCAATCTGTGCAGCACCACTGGATCACTTTTCCTCCATCCACTCCAACATTTGTCACCCTTTAGTCACTTTGCAGTCAGGTGGAAAACGTCGCATATTTGGAACAGTTCCTTTTAAACTGATCATATCTCACTTCCTGTTGTGTACACCGACCACACAGTCAGCTATGGGAGTGAGATGAAAATACAGGAAGTGACATTTAATATTTTTATCATATAAATAAATAAATAAATAAATCACAATTAATTATTAAATAAATAAATATATTTTTTTTAATTAACGAAAAATATTTTATTAAAGACAATTAAATTAACAAATAACAATTATAAATAAGTTAAAAATTACAAATGTCTAACATTTATAGGTAAACACATTTTTAATCAGTAATAATAAATATATTATAAATAGATAAAAATAAATAGGTAAGTAATTAAAATAAATACATAAATACATATAAATAAAATAATTAAATAAATAAATACTTAAAAAATTATGAAAAATATGTAATTAAAGACAATTACAATAACAAATGCATTTTTTAAATAAATGAAAAATAAAAAAGTCTAACATTTATAGGTAAATACATTTATAGGTAAATACATTTTTATAAATTATAATACATATATAAAAATATTATAAGTAGATAAATAAATAAAGTTTCTTGGACCAAAATGCATATTTTGTGGGGATGAACAAACACACGACCGGACCAGGTCTCAGAAGTTATTGTCATCTGGAGTTTGCACCTCCTGCAGCCTCTGCAGATCCACGCCGACGGTTAGAAAACCTAACCCGACTCGTTACCTTGCCTGTGAATCTGTTGGTGATTAATTCATGAACAGCAACTATGGGCATATTGATTATTCTGATCATTTGTTTTCATCAATCAGCCTCGACACCTTCATATATCCTTGTTGGCTCAGTATCGATTCCCTTCCTTAGCCTACTTCATTACCGTTGTAAGCAATATTCTAGTAAGGGGGGAAAATCTGTTTCTTCCTCAGTGGGATTTCTTTATTCCTCCTTCAGGCCCCTCTCCGTGTCTTATTTCAGAATGATCTCAGGCTGAATGTTAATGGTCCTAGATGAGGCTGTTGTGATTGAGCTCGACGTCCAGTGGCGATGTCAGCACACAGCCATTTATTTGAATAATAACTTAATAACATCTCACTCTGGTGAAATGTCAAACTTTGAATAAAAAACAACTTTGAGGGAAACACCAACAGAGACAGAAGCCTTTTGAACTTTGATGCAAAAACAAACCCAAAGTCCCTCCGACTTGTTGCTGCAGCTCAGAAATGAGCCGCTTTCATTTTTCCTCATTTCTTCCATTTGAGAATCTATATTTTGCAGCCATGTAAGCTAACTGTTCATGCAAGTGCGACAGAGTGAAGGAAGTGACTGAAAAAAGCACGTGGTGTGAAGCAGTGGAGGAAAACCCAGAGGCTCTGATAGAATGATGTTTGAAAAAGAAGGAAATAATCAAAAGAGGGGAGGAAACATTTACAGAACACTAACCTGAGAAGAGAAAAGATGAGAGAGGGAGCATTTGGAGAAACAAAGCCTGCGGTGTTTTTAAATGGCATGATGCTGAGAAGACTCCTAGCCTGAGCTGCAGGTGGGACTCCATCTTTTATCCCCACGAGCGTTCCGCTTAACCTGCCTCGCCTCGGCAACTACCCGGCTGTGCAAATGGGTAATGTGATTGTGGAGATGTAAGACAAGGATAACGGCATCTGCCAAGCAATCAAGACCAATGTTCTTCTGTGCTGGGTAGTGATGAAGAGAGAGGAGGCAAGACTGGGTGCACGGGTGAAGGCTGAGCCTTTGGGGAAGGGAATGATGTGTTGGTAAATGGCCGAGAAGGACAGAAGCAAGGGTGTGATCTTTGAGGACAACCTGCTTAGTGGAAGACGGAGATCAAATGGTGTCAAAACGGTACAGCTGGACTAATCAATACACAGGAGGGCTCAGAAAACAAGGAGGCAATTCAGAAAATATCAAGATGTCACCATTTTGGACAGGATTGATAAGCTAACAGCTAGTTTGATTTAGGCCGTTAGCAAAATGGACTAGAATAAATGTATCAACATATTCATGCATGCTGTGCAACCTTATAATCAATGCCAGATTATCAAGGGTGCCACCACACACAGCACTGATTCTTTGGTTTTCTGTTCTTGTCTGACACCGAGTAGCTCGCCTTCGTCAGAGCTTTGGTGTCACAACTGTTGCTGTTCACCTGCGGGCAGTAGAGGTCTTTTGATAAAGATGGATAAGAGGGGCGATCAAGAGAAGGAGACAATCATTATGCAGCTAATGAAAATTACAAGAGAAAATCAGGTAAAGTGGATAAAGTATGTTTTCATGTAGAGGTGGGAGACAGACGCAGTTAGGATGGTGGATGACGGGGGTGTTGAGTGATAGCGACATGTGTTTTGACAGTCAGAAGGTGGTGGGGGAAGGGGAACACTGAGAGTAGGTGCACTTAAGGTGGTATGAAATATTGAGGAGGAGTCAGAAGACAAAAAAGAGGCTAACAGCACGAGTCTGGTGAGCAAACAGGAAGAGAAGTTATTTAAATGTAAGGAAAGTTATTTCCCTCTGACGTTTAGGGAGGTGGAAACCCAAATGTTCTACAGGACGGATTATGAGAGTCACTCGTAGTATAAAAGTGATGTGGACGTGTGAAAAGGAAAGGATTAAATGTAGATTGAAAGTCAGAGAAATGATTAAAGATGGAAACAAGAATGTGATGAGGCAGCAAAAACAACACAACTGTAAATGAGGAGGGAAAGGACAGCAATAGGCCTGTTTCCATTATCTTACCAGAACTTCAAGGCCCCCATCTCTCCCGGCCGGCCCGAAAGGGCGACTTTCAGGGACGAACCCGAGTTCCTGAACTTGGGTACCCGGACATAGCCTGGTAGAGTTACTGGGCGGGACTTGTGTTTAACTCATGCTGACTGGTTGTAAATCAGTAGGGGATGACATCACCAGACGTTGCCAAACAACCAGCATTTGTAAAATTAGTTCAATAAGCAGCGTTCGTGCTGCTGTACGACCATTGTTTCCAAATTCCCAACGCCATGATATAAGCCACTCTGCGGTCTCCTACAGAGCGCCTTACAACACAGCTTCTC